GGAAATTCTAAATATGACTCCTGGGACCTGTATTGTGAGATGATGTGCGTGGCAGTGCTGAAATTTCAATAAACGGTTATTTTGTTTTTTTATATGTTTTTGCACACATGTACAAGCATCAAACGCCGTTGGCTTGAGATTATGACGACGTTGTAAAAATATATGATGACGGCTTAGGGTCGTCGTATAGCCTAAAAGGACCAAAAAACTCAGTTGGTGGGAACTCTCGTCATTATTACCCTAAGCGGAACCAAAACACTGATTTCAAATCCTAAAAGGGACGAGGAGGACCCCCGCCTTTTTTTATTATTAGGAAGTGCCCCCCAAAGTTGGAAGGTATTCGTTAATGTAATAAAATCGTTTGAATTGCAAGCCAACAATTTTTTAGTCGATATATCAAGCAAGAGAACGATASTGCCTCAGCAGACATTATACTATGCTCGAAACAAGCGATACGTTGCAGTATCATCAAGTATTTCATATAAGAAAAAATTTCAAGAACTTTTTGCTCGGACGCTGCTGGAAGATTCTCTGAAACTGTTATAATCTAGCTATTGCGCGTAGCTTGTATGGCTTGGGAAAGTTAACAACCCCTAAGTGCCCAACCATTTCAGGCAATGCCTCGGTATGTTCAAGTTTGAATTTGTGCAAAAATCGAGATGCAAATAAGAACAACACCGTCTTGGCGTCGGTTTCTCCGATGCAAACTCTTCGTCCTGCTCCAAATGGAAGAAGATTTCGAGTTTTGAAGGAAGATATCTTACCATCTTCACCTAGAAATCTAAAAAAACAGAATGAAAAAATCAAGATAAGTATGACGGCAGTTGATGTATGATAATGTAGGGAAATTGCAGAAACTCTGTGGATACCTAAGGACTCACTGGACATCTTCTTAGTAATACGTCTAGTACATCATAACGAAAACACCACCATTTAACAAAGTGTATCTCTTACACTTTTCCCTGTTAAACAAACAGAGTCTGTCGTACGACTTCTATATATGGATGTCCATAAACATGAGTCATCACAATCATTACCTTGATGGATCGAACACATCGTGTTTCTGCCAGTCATCTGTGTTGTGATGTATCGCCCATAGATTTAAAATGACCGTTGTATTCTTTGGAATAGAATAACCTTGCACCGTCGTGTCACGCGTGGTTTTGTGAGGTACTGCAAGTGGGACTGGAGATGCCATTCGCATCGTTTCAAGAATGCTTGCTTCAAGGTAAGGTAGATTCTCTCGGTCCTTTATTGTTGGCGCTGTTTTTGGATCTCGACCAACAACACGATCGAGCTCTGCATGCAGCTTGTCCTGTATATCAGGGTTTCTTAAAAGGTGAGCAAAAAGCCATCGCAGCGTGGTAACTGAAGACTCATTACCACCGGAGAACATGTCTCCTAGGGTCATTAGGACATGGTCACGTGTCATCAA